CCATGACTATGGCAGGGGGGGGTGGGACAGGATGATCTTTAATGTTCCTTCCAACACAAACCATTCTGGGATTCCATGATAATTGGCTTTGGGAGATTTTGGGTACCAAAGGGCACGTTCTCCAGGGGCTGTTCACTTGGGAGCTCAGCTGCAGGTTGCTGTGAGGGTGACTCAGCCACACTCCAGCTCGATGGGTGAGGTCCCTTGGGTCAAGCTTGGGTTTCCTGACTGTCTTTGCTCTCTACAGGGCCTCCTGTTCTCTACCCCTGAATGTCTGAAGGAACCCCAGGACCTGGTGAAGCTCTACCTGCACGAGTCCAACCGGGTGTACCGGGATAAGATGGTTGAAGCAAACGATTATGGTACCTTTGATAAAATCCAGAGGGAGATGGTGAAGAAATTCTATGATGTAAGTGTTGAGGTGTAACTATGATGATAACATGTCATAGAACCACAGGATGGGTTTATTTGAAAGGAAGTCACTACTAGGGATTTTCCTTTCCCCCCCTTTCTCTCTTGTCCCTCTTTCCCCTTTGCAGACTATAGTTGCAGGTGCAACTGTATGGACATGGAAAGGCTGGAATGCCATACTTCCCTTGGCAGGGGGCACAGAGCTGCACTGGGGTTTCTATACTTCATATACACATTTTTTCTCTCTTTTACAGGACATGGAAGAAACTTTAGAGCAGACCAAGCACATGAATATTTTTTGCCATTTTGCTAAAGGCACTGGGGAACCTGGGTACAGGCCAATCCCAACCTGGGAGGAGCTGAACCAGATCCTTGTGGAAGCCTTGGATAACTACAATGAAGTCAACGCTGCCATGAACCTGGTGCTGTTTGAGGATGCCATGTGCCATGTGTAAGGGGATTTTCTGGCTTTATGGTCTTGCCATAGCATTTGTGTGTGCAGATTGTTTTGTGGAGTTTCCTGGAGGATGGAGGGAGATGGATCGATGGGCCAAGGCCAATGATATGGGGTTCAACAAGCCCAAGAGCCAGGTCCTCACAACAACCCCATGGAATGCTCCAGGCTTGGGGCAGAGCAGCTGGAAAGCTGCTGGTG